TTTCGAGCATGTGTGGGGCGAGTTCACATCTTCAAGGCTTCACATACACTATGTCAATAAGGAGGTGGCTATCGCAGGCAGCCTTGTGATTTGCCTTGAAGGTAGCAGCTTCGACGAGAACGATCGCCAGATTTTTTGCTGAGCTCAGAAGGCTTTCACTACATCCAGACATATCAGAGATGTTCAGTGAGCTGATCAGCGCCATTTGTTGACGCGGCGCAAAAATGTTTACCCAGCAGCTTCTTGCGCTGGCTGCAGGTTGGCGCTACAGGCACACTGCTCTGAGATCGTTGACGTATCCGGTTGGTATGCTGCCTCTCGCGCTCTGATTGCGAGCTGCCTGGGCATCTGGCGACTGCGAGCCAGAGGACCAGAGTGGCCAACCGAAGGTGCCATAAGTTATAGGGCATGTTTAAACCTCTCCACGGCACTTTTTCTCTCAATCAATGACTATAAATAGGTGGGTACTGGTGACGACTCCTTAGTTTACTTGTCCTATTATGAAAAAAGTAGTTCTGTGTACGTATATTCCCGATGCGGGAAGCTCCTTTGAATTGGGATGCAAATGGCTATGCACCCGCCTGATCTTGCTGCTGTCTTTCATGAAGGCGGTAGGGTGGCGAGCGGGTGGGGAGTGTGTCTGCTGCACTCGGTGGTGGGAATGACTAAGCGAGTTAGTGTGCAGCACGCGCGGCACAGTGCGTGTGCTCCCACTGTGCTGGAAGCGTGCACCTCTATTCTTGTTCGGTGCACTTACCCAGTGCAGGGAGCTTCGATCGCAGCAACAGTGAGGACCGGGCCTAAGGAACTTCATTTCTAAGAAGCATGAATGTGCAATGGTTGCATACCAGGAAGCACTGTAGAGTGGCCAATGAATGGCACCATCTGTAATGAGCTGTATAGTGTCATACACATTTTTCACACCTATGTGTGAGATGGCATGTTTAAATGAAGCTTTCTTCATCAGTTCTTTTGTGGATAGGCTGGCTATGCAACAGGATCACTTTTTCAAGTAAACTATTGAGTCGCTACATAATCACCTTTATGGAACCACCAGGAGGCTCTGTAGTGCTAACGAAAAAATGTATTATAGAATTTTCTTTTTTATAGTGCAGTAATTTCTCTCCAGTTCTGACTGGCAGGATTACCATAAAGTAAAGGGTCTGTTTCTTCGCAAACATGCAAAAGACATGGGAGCTCTATGTTGCATGTGTGTAGTGTGTGATGCACACCCAATTTTCATAGGTTCAAAATAAAATGCCCTTGATTACAGTGTAACCTCGTCGCACACTGGATATGCTTGCAACAGACATTCAGTTACTGCATACTAACTTGCAGTGTTATGCTGACCTCGCTTTTTGTTAAATTGATTGAGCTTCGTTTACTACGGAATGACATGCTTTGGCCGCAAATAACTCACACACACGAAGTAAAGGAACACTGAACGACAAGCACAAGCGGCACTACTTCCAACTAAAGTAGACCGGGCGCAAACCCAGACTTAAGTAACAACATACAGACATGCGCAGTCTTCCACAGCCTTACGCTATCCAGCTATCAAACAAACGACATGCTTTGGCCGCAAATAACTCACACACACGAAGTAAAGGAACACTAAACGACAAGCACAAGCGGCACTACTTCCAACTAAAGTAGACCGGGCGCAAACCCAGACTTAAGTAACAACATACAGACATGCGCAGTCTTCACACAGCCTTACGCTATCCAGCTATCAAACAATCTCTTCTCCGATACGTACAACGTCACCGACAGTTCGCTCATATACCTTTCACCTTTCTATTTCATGTAATAGGCTTCCATCAACTCACGCGCAGTTTATACCTACTTCTACATAGAATCTTAAACTCCTTAAAATGTGGTACACACCCGCAGTTTTTAAAATGCACAGGCAAATGTGCCAAGCCATCCTTCATTAAATTAAATTCATGCTCCCTAACCCATTCATTATTACAGCGCCTGGTAGTCTTGATGTACGAGTTGCCACAAGAAAAGGGAATCTCATAAAGAAAGCCTTTGGCACATTTCCCGTACATCGAGCAATGTTTCTTGCCACAACCCTGGCGGCTCGCCTCCCCCCCTTCCCGAGCAGTTTTCGGGCAAAGCTGAGGCAGTTTTACTGGCGCGGAAAAGGCGACAGGTACCCCATACAGGCCTGCTACCTTTTTCAGGTTGTGGGAGTCCTTATGAACACAAGGAATCACTGCAGGTGTTACGGTTTCAGTTCCTTGTTCTCCCGTGGCAGCTCTTGTATCTTGACTTTTTGCTTTCCGCGAAAGCGCTTCGGAGACCGCTGTCAATAACGAGTCAGGGAAATTCGCAGCTTGAAGTCGCTGGATCTGGTTTTCGAATGATGCCTGCATCATCTGCGTGCACGATTTTTCGAGAGCAGATCCCAGGCAGAACATAGCAATACCACGCTTTACTATTTTTGATTGGCAAGAGTCATACGGCATTACCCCTTTCTTGGCACGAGGAAAATATTGCCAGCATGTTTGCCCGCTATGGAAAGTTAAACAGAGATCTCAAAATTTCAGGGTGTTTCCTTGCGGCAGTTCTTGTGTAAAAACGAGTTCTTTTCTGTGAATCCTAAAAAAATTTAAATTATCATCGCAGCGCATCAAGGAGCCTTGTCTGTTGAAGAGAATTAAAGTCATCCATATACCTAAAAACTTAGCAACGTTCCAGGTGCTATCCAGATTAAAAGCTTCATCGAGCAACCGGTCAACACTAGATAAAAATATATTGCACAGCAGCGGCGCTATGCAGGATTCAATGCTAGTGCTGCGTTTCTGCAGAAAAAGCTGCTTGTCGAAAAATATAAAAAGTACTGCTTAGGTAGGCTTCTAACAGAGTTAAAAAGTTATTCACCATTACACCAGCCGCATTTTGAAAGGGTATGACGCCAATTTCTTCTATGCAGGATCTCACCGAAGCCTATTACATTAAAAAGAAAGGTGAAAGGTGTATCAGCGAACCGTCGGTGACGTTGTACGTATCGTTCTACAATACAGCTTTTTCGCTTTCGCATATCCGCTAGCGCGATGGTCTTTCCCGCCAAGTTCAAGGCAGAGTTAAGCCTGGCGATGAATTCCAGCAGAAAGCGCAGCTGCGATGTGCATGGTCGCGGTGCCCGATGTATCAAAGTACAACATGCTCGATCACGAGTACAAAGATCTGTCCCGCGATGGTGTTCATCGCAAGGTCCGAAGCGCTCATAAGCAGAACTTTCTCTCCAACGAGTCAATGCTATGACAGTCGGTTCGAGACGTGTGCGTGCTATGTTCCAAATGAGTATGGCGTGCGATCGTAATTTGAAGACTGAACGTTTGCTTGCAGCTGCCTTAACAAACCGTGAACACATAACTAGCGCAATAATGTCACTAAGCAATGCGATTTTACTCAGCCGCAACCTGGCGACGCACTAGAAGCAGACGACGCTATCGTTAAGGTGTATGCAGCACAAGCATATGACTAGCGAGGCGTACTGGAGCAATACGGCAGAAGCAGCCAATCAGAATCCTCCAAATTAATTTCAAACATGTGCTTTTTGAACACGGTATGCTCGTTACGAAATACTTTTACGACGAGCCCAGAATAGTGGTGTACAGTTCTGCCGTTGCAAAGCCATAAATTCTTGAAAAACGCTGTTTTTTTTTGTGTGTGTGTGTGTAAGAGAGAGAGAGAGACTTGAGGATTTTCACCACCTCGGCAGGTGCAAAAACTTTGTACAGCACTTCTACGTAGTTTCCAGTAAAAATATTTTGGAATGGTCTTGAAAAAAAGGCTACACACACTAAAGAATAATTTCCAAAAAAGCAACTTTTTTTATGCCCCATTGAGTACAAAATCATGACTTGTGATTCTCTTTGGTTATAAGAGACCGATTCAGTGTTTTCATAAAAGTCTCTTGTCACAGTATTTGGATTTTACATACTCTTTTTACAACAAACCAAAATCCTCTCCATTGTGGAGGTCTGTTGTAATGAGATTATAATGTGCATTATTTCCAAATTTCTAAACTGTCCCCTATGTTGACAGCATGAGAAAGAATGAAATACATGTTGCTATTACGGAATAGAAAATTTATTCTTGTGGCCATTCCTATTGTGTAATGCAGTTTTGTGCTTTAACATGACATGGATATGCCTGAATTATATGGGAATTTCAAGATCATTACCTTGACAAGCTTGGTTTACACATAGTTATTTCAGAAACTTTGGAAATGTGTCTGAGGGGTAGATTTTTTCCTATTTTCTGTGTGTGGAAACTTTTCCTCATTAATATGCAGCTGAATATTTCCCATTGTTTGCAGTTGTCAGTCACGGGTCTCATGCACGTAAATACGCAGTGCAGCTATCTTTAACATGTAGAATAACTTCTCTTTGACAAGCTTTCATAACGAAAGCTCTGCATCACCCTATGTACTTCATTGGGGCAGATACAGTGTCCAGTTTGCAGTCAAGGATAAAACAAGCTTACACATACTCTGAGCAAAGTTTGCTCTGTCATTTTGTGGTAGTGAGGACACTATATCTGACCCCTCTTGATGATAGGCCAGTGCGAATGCTGTGTATGTGGTTTAGGTAAGTTTTGTACTTGCTGAACTTACAGGCAAAATTGTGTCTTTGTTTCATCAGGAAAAAGGCATGCATTAGATTCAAGTAACTATGGTACATACCTGAAAAACGGGCAAGTACTTATACATTTGCAACCTGAGGGATGGAGCCTAAATGACATTTGCCTTTTGCGTTTGCACTAAGCTGTGCTGGCACACGTAATTAAAATAGTCGTGAATGAAGGCAAGAAATAGGCATCTGAACAGCTTAAGAGCGGGGAGTTAACTGGCTTTTATTTACCTGGAAGGTTCTCATGCCTGTCGAATTGGCGCCTGGCTTTGGGACCAACGGTGGGAAGTTAAATGTATGTTCACTACAAATGCTTGGGTCAAGTTTAATCTTTACCTTGTTCTTTTTTTTTAGGTACGAAGCTTGAGTTCTAGACTGCCCCAGGATGACCGAGAGTCGGCAATAACGACGATTGAGCACTCAGGACCACCTCCTGATGCATATCAGGCCTACGTTCAGGAAAATGCTGTGGCCAGTGTGCTGGCACTCTACTACACTTTCCACACTGGTTGGTATTCTTTGTGTGTCATTACCCTTGTGTTTGCTTAAAGTTTCCCTGCCAGATTTGCATTCCCCTACGTTGCCGATTAATAAAGTAGAGGAAGTGAGACGTTATGTGTTCATAGAATGGAAAATTTATTTTCGTGGCAGTTCAAGAGCTTCTATGATCCAGTTTTCCTGGCGTTAAAATTGTTTCTGGAAATCCCTCGATAGCCTGCATATCCAGGATTGTTACCTAGAGAAGCACTATCAACGCAGAATAGCTTCAGCTGGTTGGAAAGCTCATCTTTGATATCTGGATATTATCAAGTTTCTAGTCTGTGAAAACTTTTCCTGCTCAACATACAGCTGAAAATCTCCTCCCTTGGTTTGCAGCACTTGCAGTCCCAGGCCATGAGCTCGCTAGAGTGCGTAATGGAACTATTTTCACCGTGCAAAATAACTTTCCCTTGATGTGAACATTCCTAATAACTGCGACACATTACCAGTTGTGGCTCACAAGAAAACAAACAGGACATGCACAGCTCAGTTGTGAGCGAAAGCATCTGACGTGAGCTCGGAAGAAAGTGGGCTCTCACCATTATGTAGTGGTGATGACACTACTTCCCGTAATTACTCGAATCTAATGCGCACCTTTTTTTCGGTTAAGCGAGTTCATAAATCGCATGCGTTAGAATCGAGTACAAAAAAAATGAATACGGTCATTCTATTGCCATCGGCATTTTCAAAATATCCGCCCCCTACGTGTGTCGGCATGGCGCGACAACCATTTCTGCCTATGTGTTTCCCATGTGCGGCACTTCATACATGTGCTGAGGAGGTAGTCATCTTGTAGTGCATTAGCATCGACGGCATGGAAGGGCCGACTCCAAAAACTCGAGCGCACCACGATGCCGCTTTTAAAAAAAAAGTCATCGCGTGTGCAGAAATGGAGGGGAAATCGGGCCGCATCGTGTTCGTTCGGAGTTCCCGAAACGTGCATGCGGGACTGGCGGAAACAAAAGCAGAAGATTGTCGGCAGCAAAGCTTCACGCAAAGGCTTCAGTGGACCACAGCAGGGTCGGTTTCCGCAAATTGAAGAGCTGCTCGCCGAGTATGTGCTTGAGCAGCGAGCGGCACAGCGGCCCGTGACGACAGAACTGCTCCAAGTGCGGGCTATGCAGTTAGCCTTAGAAAAAGGGCTTATGCAGAGCCAGTTTAAAGCGGGCAGGTGCTGGCTAACTTAACTTTGTAAAGAGGACAGGCTTTTCCCTTCGAAGGCGAATGGGCATATGCGAAAAGTTTCCGGAGGAGTACGATGAAAAGCTTCACGGTCTTCAGAGGTTCGTCCTAAACTTGCGGCACAACAACAGCTACCTGTTTGGGCGAATCGGGAATGCCGATCAGACGCCTCTTTACTTCAACATTCCTAGCACCACAACCGTCGAGAAGAAGGGGGCGAAGCAAGTTCGCGTGCTGACATCGGTCCACGGTAAAACTACAGTAACGGCAATACTCTGTTACACGTCAGATGGGCACAAGCTTTCCCCGTACCTCATATTTAATTGGAAGACGCTCCGGAAAGGAGTTGTTTTTTCGAGTGGTGTGATCGTGCGGGCCAACGAGAAAAATGGGCGCACGTTGCAATCGATGTCTTACTTTTTTTTTCATCGTCGAAACCGGGTGCGCGTTACAATCGAGGGTGTGGTAGAATCGAGTAAATACGGTACTTTTCTGATGGGAAGCTTGTTGTCAATGCGGTTTCAGTTTAATTTTCATGCACAGGATATTCTTATAATAGTGTAGACCACTTTTAACGTAACCGCTTATAGTGCAGAACCGCTTACAATGCGGTCTTTTTATACTCCCGTCTACCCTCCCATAGAACCCCATGTATGCGCATACCGCTTATTGTGCAGTCCCCCAAGATAAAAAACCGGTTATGATACGGTTGCTGGAAATCGTTTGTGACAATTGCGGTACAGTGCAGTCCACTTATAACGATATCGAGAAAACCTAAAAATATGATCGTTATAACCGGTGATCGTTATATCTGGACTGCCGCCAAAAAATCGTCGCCGGACGTACCTTTTGTAGCTCCAGGCTTCATTTCGCTATTTTCACCAATTAATAAATATTGTAGATAGTAGGATGTCAAAAACAAGACTTTATTTCTTACTCCGAAGAACGCATCACGGGTTCGCTAAGGAAGAGAGACTGACCGACGGCGGGGTGGGAGCAGTGGGAGGAAGAAAGGACAGCCAGAGGTACACAGCCGGAATGCCAACGAGGCCCCGCCCCGATGCCGCCGCGCCGCTTTGCTTTTCGCTTTTTTTATTTTCTCTCTCTTTCCCGCGTTCGTTCGGCAATCTACGAGTAGCTTGCCGTTGTAGAAGGCGGGGAGCCGCGGAGCGCGGCACTTTGCTTTTCGCATTTTTTTTTTTAAATTCTCTCAGCCTCTCCGCGGTCGACGCGCGGTGAGGCGCAAAACGTGACACAGCTGGCGCCATCTGTAGGGCGTTGCGCCAACTCGCGATGCTCTCCTCGGCTTTTTGAACGGCCGGGACGCGCTGCCGGCGCTGTGCTGCAGTGGCGGCAGATACGTACTCGCCTACGCTAACTTTTCGATTTGTCTCGGCATAGTTCGTTTCAGAGGAACTTATCAATCTAAATGTTACGATTATTCTGAATGAAACATGCCGTCCACGGCAAACTTTTCATCGTTGTATCCGATATGCGGTGGATAACATATCGTTATATATGGTTTTTTTCCCCATAGCCCCAATGCATAAAATGAGACTGTTAAGTCGACCCATCGTTATAACCGATATATCGTTATATGTGGTATCGTTATAAGTGGACTGCACTGTAATGAGTGCACTTCTGAAAGGAGGTGCGCTGGGTGCGCTGCTGGGGAGCGAACGACGAGGTCGTTACGGAGGAGAAGAAGGGTAGACTGAGTGAATGAACGAAAGGCGGAGCGAAGAAAAAGATAATGAATTATGACCGCGGAACACTGTGCGGGCTCGCCGATTAAGGGAGGAGGATGGTTGCCTCAGTGACCGATAAGCCTTTGCACTGGCTCTAGTGCTGCTACAGCTTACTACTTCGCTAGCGTGGCTTCGGCCGCGCGCCGCTCAACGTGGCACGTGCGATCTCGTCCTTATAGATTGCATGCGCGATGCGCCTAACAGTTTCCTGTCGCAAAAGGCATCGTTATCGAGCTTGCAACAAATATCGCGTTTGCTTACTCGTCCGTAAATTAGAAACCTATTACGGCTTTATCACGCACGCTGTTCTTGGTTCACTGCTAGTGCGATCTTATTCACGCCGAATCTTCATGTTTTGGACAAACTTTCCGCGACAACATACCAAACAGCAAGCTAGGCCTAATTGGCATTGGTTGCGCTTCGATCGGTAGCGGTTCCGTGAATCTAGTTGCGGTTAGGTATCAAATCATCGAAACTCTTTGCGGTAGCCGCACTTGACGAGAAAGGTACATATCGTTAATGAAAATGAGGGCGGCACATGTAGCGTTCAAATAGTGGTTCGTGATGCAATTGCGATGTCTTAATTTGGGTACGGGCCTGTGAAATCGAATGGTTGGCATCTTTCAAGGCGTCAAATTCTGGCCGTGATTCGACATAGTTTCTGTGTAATGTGCATAATCGAGGCGGTCTGATAGTCGGCGAATTCCCACAATGGTGCTTTCGTTTGTTAGACACTCGCCCTCCCCCTTTTGGGTTCATTTCATTGGCAACGCGTGTCCTTGGACGTTAAATTTTTTTTAACATTCAGAAATTTAAATGTTAGCAAGCACGCATCGCATGTTTCGATTCTCGGACTCGCAAAGCTGCATGCTCAACAGGTTTTGTGCAAGTGCGGCTCTTGAAAAATGTTGTTTTGGTCATAGTGCGGATATTCGCGACTCCCGCGACTTACGTTATAAGCGGTCTATACTGTATTAGTTCATTTTTCAGATGGATGTGCGGTCAGGACAAGTGCTTGGGTCAAGTTTAATCTTTGCCTTGTTCTTTCTAGGTACGAAGCCTGAGTTCTTGACTGCCCCAGGATCACCTAGAGTCGGCAGTTTCATATTCGTGTACAGGATATTTTTATATTAGCTCATTTTTTGGGCACATACGCACTTTTCATTCAATTTTTTGAAATTTGAGAATAAAGATAAGTTCACACTTCAACTACCGTATTTACTTGCATAATTTACGCACACCCGATATTTAGCCAGCTTTACTTCTAAAAAATAATGTATTTACTCCAATACTGTGCGCTCTTTGACCGGCCGGAGCCAGCTCGCCAATGTGTGAATAAAGAAACTTTGGATGGACTTTTGTGTGCATCGGATGGGCGCGCCCCTGCATGACTCTTGCCGAGCAACAAAATTAGCTGCAAGTGCGAAGTCTCTTATTTCGAGGGCTTCCCTTGAACTATGGTCTCCAGATTACCTTACCCAAATACCCATGTTGACGGACTGTCAGAACTGCGTGATCGTTTGCCTCCGTCTCCCCACCTCTTCCACCTTGAGAATTCATGCTCGTGCCACGGCATGGACAGTTTTTCGCAATGTGGTTAGTTATTAGGAATCACTTCTAGCTAAGTGTGGTGGGTCTTGTGTAATATTCTTGTCTTGCCCCCCTCTCTCTCTCTCTCTTTTCATTTAAAGCTCGTCAGCGGGATCGAACTGGCGTAATGAGAGTTCTGGGTTCGTTGGCGGGAGCTGAGGGGCAGCGGGCCTACCAGGATCCATTTCTGCATACACTGGTTGGCCACCTGGCGCTCATGGCTGATGATTTTGCCCAAGAGGATTTCTGCACAGTTGTTTTTGATGAGTTCTTCCTCAGCGGCTTGAGTAGCAGTGCTTCTGGAGGCAGCACAACGGCCGCACTTCCCACCACGGAAGTGAGTTCACCTTTTCTTTGCCTGCCCATTGCTAGGTGGCCGTGATGGCGCATGCATTGACTAAATTTGCACATGCTGTGTTCTCTTGCAGTGCAGAATAGAAACTGTGGAGAGATTTTCAGTGTCGTTAACCTCTACTTGTTTGGCTATGGTGAGACCAGTGCGTGGAATGAGCTGGTGGGCCTCATGTAATAGAGGCGTAGAGCTAAGTCTCATGACATCAGTGCTTTATTTGGCAGCCTTTATTTGATTTAACTTACCCAGTACACCGACACATAGAACAATTTTTGTAGGTTTAAACTATGAGGTTCAGAACTGTGAACCTAAATCTTGTTAATATGCAGTTCTTTTAACCCCTTAGCTGCTCTTTTTTTTTTTCCGAATTTAGATGAAAAAGTGCCCATTTTTTTGTTTCATATTTCGATTCTGCTTGTACTGAAACGTAGCTAGTTGATGTTGAAAAAATATCTTCACCACATACTTACTCAAATCAAAGCAAAAAAGCTCATTTCTGAACAATACCTAGAAAGCGAGCTTCCTGCTGCTAATAAAATTGAAAACTTTATAAACAGAACAGTTTATCTTTCTTCACTTGTGTAGGCTAAGTACCCTTGGGGTATTTCACTCGGGAAGCTTCGGGACTGGGCGGAAAATTTCAAAATGCAGAATTATGCAAGACTGCTTCACTGGTGGGCACTCGCGTGCGGCATGTTCGCGTGCGGGCTGTCTTCATCACCACCAAAGGAGCTACTCATTCACCGTCATCGCCGTCTACACTTCCGTACACAAGATAAATATCTGTGCACGAATCATCATCACTCAAACAAGATGACAAAAACTAATAGCTTTTTTGTGTTCACGGGTCAGGTATGAATGAGTCACTGTCACTGCACACCATCTTTCTACACAAAAACCGCACTCTTGCCTCAGGAGAAAACTAAGCCCTCGAGAAAATGCTGCCAGTTAGCGGCTGACACGTGATTTAGCCAGTAAATGCGCGCTTCTCCGCGGGAACGCTAGAGGGAAGTACCTATTCCGCTAGGATGAGTTCTACTCGTCCAAAGCAGTTTGGTGACAGTTTCGGCAAGACGAGCTCTGCTCGTCCAAAGCAGTTAACGGGTTGACAAGAAAGCATGACTTCAATTCTAGCAAATGTGTAACAATGGAACCAGCAAAGTTTACCCTCAGAGAATTAGAATTCATTTACACCTAATGTGCATTACCTTCATTATAGGCATTGTAGGTGGTAGGTGGTAAGCTGATAGGCTTTTGTGCATAGAAATGAGATGAGTTCACTAAGAAGCAACATTTTTTCAGCTTGCTTAGTTAGTACTGACCTTGGCATGTTTAAAGTTAGTTGTTCGGATTCAGTTCACAAAAAAAAGCATTCATGCATTAATATAAAAGTGTGTTAATTCAGATTTAACAGGACTAGAAAAAAAATGTCCAAGTCAACTGGGCACTGAATTACTGAAAGCGTCAAGAAAACAGTAAACAAATGTCTGTTACATCAATACATTTTCATTTTCCTAAATGCATGAATCCTGCATGTATTTTGCATAAGAGCAGCACAAAAGTGCAGTTTTTGTTATCTTACGACTTTGTTTAAAATCGGACCACGGCGCGAAAACTGTGTTTAGCTAGCCCAGAACATGCTCCGCACTTGTTTCTTAATATTGCCACCACCAACACTCCCAAGCGCACGTGAAGATAGTTTTCACGGGGAAAATTGCCGGCAACTGATTATTAGTCCATGCCAGCTTGCGGACTGTGGCTGAAAACTCAGCTTCTGCCATGTTTCAGTTCATTCAACAATGAGTGGGCATTGCATCAACTCAAAACAAAGCACTGCTAAGTGCCGGAAATGCACATTAGCAAATTCATGGTTACTAATGGAACTTGTTTCGGTGGTCCGCGAAAGTTGTTTTTGCTTTTTTGCAGGTCTTTGCTGTCCAAATAAACTAGGTTGTGGCCAACTATGTCCGAATTAATGAGAGTTTGATGCCATTAAAGAATGCAAATGCTGGCCGGAGCTGGAGAACATGTTCTAATTATACTATTTTCTGAATTAACAAGGGTTGAAATAACAGGCTTTTACATTATTCGCTGGCCTTAATACAGTACAGGCTCTGTATTTAGAGACTTTTGGGCAACTTTTGCTCTTTAGCGCCAAACGGCAGTGCATTTTTATTCAGAGGAAGGATAGTACAGAAGACTCTAGTTACACGAAACCTGAAGGGACCAGGAAAATATATTTTCTTTAACAGGTACTGAGAGATGAACAGGGGTGTAAAATTCAAGTACAAAAGCACTCTTTATAAAGGCAGTTGGATCATTTAAGCTGTAGTCCCGTGAAAGAGATCTCAGTTTACTGAGTACTGTGTAGACTAAATTGCTAGAGCCTTTCTCCTGCTCTCTTGTCCTCGTCTTATTTTACACGACATTTTTTCTCCACATCGAATCCAAGAAAATGTTCTGTGGTGCTAAAAATCGCAGTTTCATAGTGTTCTTGTGTTTCTCGGTGCAGGGTGCGAGCAGTGCTGCAAGGCATCTCCTGCGCTTGTTATGGCATGTGCATGCAAAGCTTCCTCCTGCCAGACTTCAAGGCCTCATGAAGACACTGCAGCCACTTGTCCAGGTGAGTTGGAATAGACAGATACTCTATTTACTCGCGTAATGAACCCACTCGCATAATGAACGCATGTTCCCGCATTGGTTCTTAAAAAAAAAAAAATTTTAAATGTATCTGTTAGTTTTATTTCAGTGTGATAAGCAGTGACGTGGACAATTGAAACACATTTAAATCACGTCATTATATCACCGAATAATGATGCAATAAAAGTTTAAACATAATTTAACAGCCATGATTAAACTGTTATGAGAAGTGTGAGGACTGACGACGTCAATCAAAATTTAGAAGTTGCGCCTTTTACTACAGATCGCCATCTGTCAAACACAGAAGAAACCCCTTTGCTTATACAATAACACCTCGTTTATCTGGATCTCATTAGCTCTGATTCAACGCACAGTCTTTGTGAAACTCTGTATACTTCAGGGGTGTCAAATGCTCGTTAATTCGAAAAGATTTAGCCACGCACCGGTTAACTTAGACAACTCTAGGGAGGGCTATCGGGGGACTCCATGCCTTGTGTCATGCGATCTCGGTCATTTCGGAGTAACCGAAACTGAATGAACTGCAGCAGAGTATGATCATGATGATAGTAAATGAGAGGGAAGTGGCTAGGTGGCATTAGTCACAACCCAGCAAAAGTGCTTGGGCCGCTGCCGCATCTGAGAAAAGCGGAACGCGTGGATGACAGGACGGTTTGGGCTTCCACGCCCCCACAGCTGCTCGCTACACAAACGATGCTGATTTCTTTGTGTTGCGACTCCATGCACGTAGCGTTCTCCGTATCGCAAATTTTCCCCTTGAAAATGCTTCGTAAAAGTTTAGAAACTCGCACGTTTTTTGAACACCAGAAACGCTAGAAAAACGGGAGGGAGCGAGGACTTGGACTGTACTGTTGGGCTCGTTCTCCAGCTTGCGGAAGGGCATTTTTTTTTCTATCTCTCTTTTTCATGCTTTTTCTGCATTACCATCGGTTCTAAAAGCAGGAACGAAAGAGCCAGCAGCCTCCTCATTTTCATTTTGCCTTCCTTCCCCCGCCCGCCCCTTTTTCTTTTTAAAATTCTCTTTTGTGTGTTCGATCAGTCAACTACAGCCCAAGCCTGTTGTATTTTCTCAGCGTACCACAGCTCGCACCTTTTTTACATTGCGGCTGTCCTCGTAGGTAGCCATTGGCGACTGATCACGAGCGCAAATTATCAGAGTCGGTGGGGTAGCGTGCGTGCGTGCACTATATATATGCAAATGATCGGATACAGTCGGTGGCCGATGCTGTTGGCAAATGGTCTGGTCACTTCAGGCCGGCGACGCCAGCGACAGCACCAGCGATCAAAAACGGGGTCGATAGCCGACCGGTCTTTGAAAGATTGGTGGCAGTGTGGAAAAACGGGCCTCGTCTGGCGATGCAAGGTGCTCAGAGTAGTGGGGGGGGGACAAAGGACGGAGGGGTGGGTAACAAAAAGCGGTCGGGGAGAGCGGCAACTAGAGGGGGGCAGGGTCAGCATTTAACAATAAGAATGTATGGGCATCTCGCCGATGCCTGATCTGGTTTCCCCGGAACTAGGCAAAACGCCGACTCAGTTCGCTGTAACCGATCAGCGGCGCTCGGAGACGTTCAATGTAAGTTCGATTTTGTGCCATTGAACCAATGTATATTTTCACACTCACGCGGATATTGTTCGTTATAAGCGAAAGTTCATTTTAAGTGCCCGTTATATGTGGGCTCGACTGTATGCTGCTTCTTCGACACTAGCGCCATCTCATCGGCCACGCCCCTGTGCAATCCTCCTATACAGTAGACTTGCAATAATTAAAACACTGATAAGTCATACTTTTGGTTAATTCAAACAAAATTCAATTTTATGATTGACCCTATATTCTTTCAATGTATTTGAAAGCCTCTTAAGGGGAGATACTACCCGAAAAACGATTTTCTTTAATAAGAGTCTGAATTTAACACAAATTGGCATGCTAATAGAGTTTTTTCACCTCTTTTCAAATATGTCATTTATTTTCATGTAGATTGCTTGGTTTTCTTTCTGCAGGTCAGATACTGCAAAACTATAGCCATTGTTATGCAACAATTCTGACCTATAAAAATTTGAGATAAAGCATGCAGATATAGCTGACTATGATCCTTTAGAACTGTAGAGTGCAAAAAACTATATAAATTTTGTGTGTAGAAAAGGTGAAATACAATAATAAAATAGAAAAATTTACTATGGCTCTAGTTGCCAAGGGTTTTCAATGTTATGTAATTTTTGAAAAACATAATCAAGCAGCACTGACAATCTGAATAGATAGTTGCACTCTATGGGCCTTCATCATGCTATGTGCAAAATTTCATAGAGGTATGACAATTCTAAGTATACGAACTAGCGTGTATAAGAAGCACAGATCACACAAAACTGCAAAAGGAGAAAAACGCATTTGAAAGTTCGAAACTTTTTTTTTTATCACAGAGTTGTTAGAAATGCATAATCTTTGGCCATAATGTTCAACAGAACTTTGAAAAGCACTGCAAGTTACTAGAACTGTCCTGCAGCATAGGTTGTGCCCTCGCGGTCCTTGCAAGCACTCTCTTCTAGCCGTGCCCTTTTCACTCCACGACGACGGTGGGCCCTTGCTTCTGCTGTCAGACGCTCGGACATTCTCTTGATGCGCCTCGCAACGCGGGAATCACTGAAAGTAACTAGATCTCTAGATGGCAGTATGTTGAGCTCTTCCAGGATGTGCTCGAAAGTAGCATGACCCTTGTTGAACCACATGATTGCCATAGCTGCGGCAGTCTCGACAACCGTTCGGGAGACAAACTTAGTCTTGGGGCAAAGTCGCCAAATTTTGCTGTTCAGGGATTCCGATGCGTTCTGGGTTTTCCCTTTGATGCATCGAGCAAGGAGCTTCTCATCCGTTAGCCGCTTATAAATGGACAAAACAGCCAATCCCTGTGCTTTTGTCAGGAGAGGTGTGTGGCGTGGTACAGGTTCACCAAGTGCTTCAGCGCATTGATGTTTGCACCACGACTCTGTTCCTGCAGGGCAAAACTTGTGGCTGCCAGCATTGTCAGTAGAGCATGAGTGGAAGTACGAAGCCCATGCTGCAGTGTACATATCCCGTACACTCCCCCTGTTGCTTGTTATGGCAATCTGATAGTATGTTTGGAGCTTCTGAATGGCTGGCTCTTTCATTTTCTGCCCTCGTGGTAATGGCACATGCAGCTTCCGTAGCGCAGTGCCAAGTCTCTTGGCCACATGATTAGTGCAGTCTTCTTTTTCTATATTGACAGCACCATAGACTTTTGACTCTGCAACTGCACTATATGCTTTGCTGTCACCGTCACTCAAGAATGTCATGAAATGCAGTGGGGTGTCATAAGTCAATATTCTCTGCCAAATGCGCATTGCAGCCTCCGTTTCCATGGCATGGGAGGAACAGTCTGCATTTTTTTCACAGACTGGGCCATGGAATGCCTGCCACACTTCCTCGTCTGGGCCCATATCCTTGTGCCTACTGCATGTCAGGCAGTAATTTGATATGACCCCGAAGTCTAAGCAGAGGCCAGTATCTAAGGAGATAACTGCACCAATCTCGTTGTGGCTTTTGTGGCCCCTCTTCTGCCAAGTGCCGTCGAACATAACAGCCACATCAGTTTTGCCTGCTTCTTCTTTCGTCAACTCTCTGAATCGGCCCAAGTTTTCACTCACAGCTGCCATGGCAGCGGTGTGCACCTTCTTTGCTATCGAAAAAAATCCTCGGTGGTGCATTGGCTTTGGGAGTCCAATAATGGAGCAAAATCTCGACAATTGCTCATGCCCAATGCCGACAGCGCGTGCAGCCACCACCGCCTTCACATATACAGCGAAACTATCTCGGGAGCTCCCACTGTTGTACCGTTGGTTCACTCGGCTGCTGCCGTCCGCCGTAACACGCAAGAACAGTCGCTGAACATTCGCTGTTTTCGCAATGAAGTCCGAGGAGTGACGAAAGTCCCTTGCGCTTTTCTGCCGGCTCCCGAACGGCAAGTTCTTGAATACCGCAAGCAGGGCATGCCGCACCTGCCACAAGTGCCGTCAGCAAGAGGGTGTCGCACAAAACTGTCGTTGCACAAACCTCATCGCGCTGTCTTTCGTCTTTTTCGAAGAAGCCGAGCTTCTTTTCCGAAGCACTGACGAAAGAAAGCGCAGTGTCAATCCCTTCATCGCAGCCACTGTCGCTCGCGCACTCGTCGATGCCGCCGTCAGGCCTAGCACACGTAGGCGCATTCTCATTCGGCGCCGTCGTTCGGGGCGCTTTACGCCGCCTTCCCTTGAACTTGTGCTTCGTTCGAAACTTCTGCGGTCTCACGTTGCACTTTTTCGGGCTTGTCATCGCAGAAATATGCGTAGACGTGCAGAAAAGCAGACGGACCAAATGCTGATGGCCGCCACCAACACAGCTGACAATGACTCGGTAGCCAATGGCGATGCGGCTTAGGGTGCCGCGCGTTTCAAACCGCTCAAACCACGTGATAAAAAGGCCTCGTTTTTTATTTTTTTTTTTGCCCATGTACGAAACTGGCAGTCATCGGAGCTGTAAGAAGAAGGCCGGACGCAACTTTCCCAACCGATCGCGATGGCGGGCGGCACTGCGACGGGGAGCAGCGCGCAGTCAAAGATGGCCAATATCGGCGCAAATTCACGAAATTTTGAGCCACCACGATGCCTTCATACACATTTTTTTTGCATTTTGTGGTTCGTATTTAGTTTTGAAATTTTCACAGAGGAAAGAGGAAGGTTTGAAGATTACAATGCAATAAAAATCAGAAATACGAGAAATTTCGCTAAAAACGCGATTTTTCGACTCGCATCTCCCCTTAATTCAAACTCCATCATTCGGTTAATTTATAGTTTTTGCAGGTTCATACCAGAAAATATCTGCTCCTTTCCCACTACTATTTAAAAATTGGTGCTTATATAACCTTAAAAATGAGAAATAAGCACCTGAGGCCTTCTAGGAAAAAGGCTTTGCAAGTA